GTTTTTTTGTATCTATCTATATATTGACGTCATCGAAAAATAAAACTGTGCAAATTCGATATCATATGATCAACGATACACTCGCCTGTGGATGTAAAGAAAGGAGCGTTATTCTCTAGTTTTGGATATTGTATGGAATCTTTAAATGATCGATGCCCAAGTATTCACATTTCTGCTTGGTCAAACGCATGAGGAAATATCTATGGAAGGTCTGTTTGAAATATTATCAATGAAAATTCTGTTATACTGTCATTATCCAAAAGCGTCAAACTTCATTTTCTCCTACAGAGGTCATATACAGTTAAATAGCGACTATGAGTGTAAACTTAAGACAGGTAGAATAGATTTTATTTTACGCATTAATTACTAACGCAGGAATAACAAAAATATGAAAATACGCAACTTGGTATTTTCTTAAGGGGAACAGTAATTCTTGTTTTTATATTAATCTTATGAACTTTTATAGTCTAACACCGAACGGTTGCAAATTCGAATTGTTACAAAAAATCTCTCTTTTTGTCAGATAAAATTAAATTCGTGTCTGTCCACTTAATGTACACACCAACCCAACTCGAGGCGTATATATGAAAGGGTTTGGCTGTGCATTGTGCATAAAGAAAATTTCTCCCTCTATTTCTCGCTCTATCCCAGAGTGTGTTCACACACACACACACACACACACACACACACACACACACACATATATATATATATATATATATATATATATATATATATATATATATAGTTGTAGCGTGGATAGAAGAAACAGTAAAAATAAAGGCGTGTACGCGTGTGCTGGTGTGCATACGCAGGCAAGCAAACCACGATTAGAATTGGAATAAAATATAACACACACACACAGACACACGCACACACACACATACACACACACAGACACACACACACACACACACATATATATATATATGTGTGTATATATATATATATATATATATATATATGTGTGTGTATGTGAAGTATATACAGATAAGTTTTAATATCGGTATTAAGTAGTATTATTTATTTAGCAAATGTGCTGAATTTTGTGACGTAGGCTATTAAGAAAACATGAAAATTTTTTTTAAGGGAGGAATTATAAATTTTTGAAATTTGTTTGAAAATATTTTCCCATGTTTCAGGTAATTATTTTCGATAATCCGCCAAGAATTGTATTTGCAAATGCTAAACAAAATAAACTGAAGCAAATCTGTCGAATGATATATAACCAGTGGAAAGTGAATTTAGCATCACGCGATTTGGGAGGTGTCTACAAATGAACTAAAACGCGCCCATACTGAACCCCATATATATATATATATATATATATATATATATATATATATATATATATATATATATATATATATGTGTGTGCGCGTTTGTGTGGGTGCGTGTGTGTGTTTTTTATGTCGGTGGGTGTGCCTGAGTGTCTGTGTGTTTGTCTGTGTACAAACGAAAGCGAATATCCACAACATTCATTTTAACATCTCTGTAGATGTGTCGACATATATTTATAAGTCTATAGAGAGAATTCGAACATATATATATATATATATATATATATATATATATATATATATATATATATATATATATATATATATATGATGTAACGATATATAATTTTGGATAATTTATATATCAACAAACAGTATTTAAAATTTTCTTTCAAATATTTCGAAACTAACTGTGTCTCTGATTAGTGCGCATGCGTAGACGTGCCAGAGTCAACGAGGCATTGTTAGATGAAATTCTAACGGATGAAACACTTTGCAAAAAACCTTTCCACTTTGTAATGTTTTTCAATATATATATATATATATATATATATATATATATATATATATATATATATATAAGATGGATTAGTTGTCATCCAAATTACGCAAAAATGAAAGTAACACTGACATCTCATTTTGAAAGATATATATGTCCTAAAATTACACAAAAATATCTTCAATTTTATTTAATAAAAACACTATTGGCTCCAAACACGTCTTCCAGACGGCTTCGGAACCTCCTGCAACTCTTCTGGATGGTCTCCTTGTTTAATTGGTGAGCGCTGCCATAATTATTTCCTTTCTTTCATATTTGTTGTTACAAGGAGTTTTGTTGGTCCCTTCTTCAACTGCGTTCCATACATAATAATCAAGGGAGTTGCGGTCCGGGGAGCTAGGTGTCCAGATGTAACTTTGTTGAATATTACATCAATATATATATATATATATATATATATATATATATATATATATATATATAGTGGATATTAAAGTCAACACACAGAGTCGACAGACTGTTTCATGCTAGACGCAATCGTCAGGCCGCGAGTGTTGGATTTTTCTAGAATATTTATATGTATGGGTCAGTGGTGCATTGTGGTTAATCCATGGTTAATCTATTCAGGGTGTTATTTTGGCGGGAGTGGCTTGTTTATTCATTTATTTATTTACTTGGGTACCTTAAATTACTTGTTTTTTATTTTCATTTTTTATTGTAGGTTTTCGATGTTGATTAACTTAGTAAAAGATTGCTTAGGTCGCTTATTTAATAGTTTGTTCTGCTCTGGGAAGATAATTAAAGCTAATTAATTGCCTACTTATTGGATTGATTGCCGTAGTCTATTCTGTTATTTTGGCGGGGGGGCAGTTTTAATTTGTTTATTATTTTATTTATTTATTTGGTTTTATTATTTGTTTTTGGTTATTTATGTTTGCTTTTAGTAGTTCCGACGGTTATTTTAGTGGGGGTGGTTTGTTAATTTGTCTATTTATTTAAATTAATTTTTACTTGTTTTTTCTTATTTATTTACTCATTTTATATATTTTTATTTACTTTATTTGATTTTCGATTTTTCAGTAATGTATAATTTTTTTTTCATCGTTATTGTATCACTTATAGCTATTTTTTCGTCCAATTTTTGAATTGATTTTTGCAGTCTATTTATAAGTCTTTATATCTGTTAATATTTTGACGTTTCTAATATTTTTAACAGCCGACGTAAAGTCGGGTAAAACGACGTAAGACGGGTTTTATTTTTCCATATCATATTTAAGAAAACCGACGTATTTCTAAAATGATTTAACTCGAAACGACATGTCGAGGTATCACTATATATATATATATATATATATATATATATATATATATATATATATATATATATATATATATATATATATATATATATATATATATATATATATATATATTATATATATATATATATATATATATATATATATATATACATTCTGATATATATATATATTCTGAACATTTTGTAAATGGAGACTTAGGCATTATTTTTTTAATACAGAAAAAAATTTCCCTCTATCTTAAGTAATATTTCGATAGATATCACGAGAGGTTTTGTCAGTTCTAATCTTGAAGCTGCTACCGAAGTCAAAGGAAAAGGCTGTAACAATTTCATCAGCAGTCCCCGCCGGATATTAGGTCTCCAGTGGCCAATGTACGTGCGAGACGTTGATATCCTTGCGCGCAGTTTGTCTGCCCCGTATAGAGTTTGTGGCACTTTTGCACCGAATAAAGGACGATAGGTCATCTAATCAGTTTCTGTACGGCGTGTTGGTCGAAGTTAAAAATTTGCATTATGAATGTTAACCATGTTTGCCGTAGTCTTTGAATAGAGAATCCAGTGAAATACGTAATGTGTTCAAGATTCGGAGGAAGTAGCAGCTGTTAAGTAATTCTTTAAGTCTTCGATATCAGAGGTTGGCAGTGAAGATATTTTGGGAGAAAAAACAAAATGACTGCCTTTATACATGTCAGATTGAATATTTTGAGCTTTCTGATTGGTTAACCCCTCTATTGGTGAACTATAAAATGAGTCAGCTCATTTTGGTTGGCTCACTATGTTAGACATTTTCATGACGGTCGTCCTCGAGTATAGAATCCAGAGGTTGGCAGTGAATATTTCGGAGACAGTAGGAAAGCGTAGTGCAGGTTCGCAGTGGATATCACAACAGAGTGTAGTTCATCCTTCTCCTGGTCGCCTTTGGTCCTTCCGCCTTTATACACGACGAATACAGTGTTGTGCGGCTTCGGATTGGTCAACCTTCCATTGGTCGATTATAAAGGGAAATAAGTCATTCTGACTCGCTCACTAGTTATAGGCGTATATACCCAAAAAACCGTAACACACTAGTACATTCTACCCAAAAATTTTACCAATGAACACACAGTAGGCCTGCAATCACGCCAAAGTCTAAATCTAAATCGATCATCCTGGAGGAATGCAGTGTGTGGATATTTATTAACTTGAAGAATCTGCCACAGAATTTGAGTTAAATATCACGTATGCCAAACTATTGCAGACAAAACGAAATCCTCATAACTTCCATACACAAGCGTCTTCCGAATATTACACCTTATTACGGATTTCGACTTGCAGAGAGCGTAAAATAATGTGTCTCACTTGGTGGACTAAAAAGACATTTCAAAGTTTACAAAATATTAACTTATTAAAACAACGACTACAGAACTTTCAAGTGTGCCACATTTGAACAAGAGAGTGTATGACCTTAGCCGGTCTAAAAAGCCGCATCAACACTGTTCATCTTAAAACGCCCAATATGTGATACATTTTTATCCTTTTTAATAGGGATAAATTATGAGTTCAGCTTTAAAGATTATCCTATAAAATCTTGTTCATATATATATATATATATATATATATATATATATATATATATATATATATATATATGTCCTTAGCTGTTCCGTAGAGAGCTTTTTGCAATCGCTCGTTCCACTCGTCAGGAAAAAGTACACCAATTCTCTACCGATAATCTAAATAACATAACATTTATGTTAAATTAAAAATAATTTATTCGCTTTTTATTAGTGTTGGCTTATATTATGTGTGTGTGAGTATGTGCGCGCGAACGTGCATACACGTATGTACGTATGTGCGTGCACACACGTACACACGTGTATATGACACAAATCGCTATTTGTCTTTTTTTAAATCTCGTTTC